CGCTCTGCTGTGCAGGTCCTTTGGTAAACTTTGCTTCCACCGTGGGGCTGGTGCTGCTCTGGGATGAGGTTTTAAAGAAGGAAGGATGGCTACTGAAATTGCCTCCCTAATCAGAACCTGGGTGCTCTGTTGTGTCTTAACAAATTATTGCTTTTAAACTACGGTGCTGAATTTGCGAGCCAAAACCTCCTGCTGCGCTGGGCTTCAGCGTGTGGAAGCAGAAAGCATCGCACCTCCTAGCATGAAGGAAAGCTCCTTTTTTCCTCCTGAAGAATGGGCCCGTTGCTTGGTTAACATTTTTTGCAGAGGGGAGATCGCTGATGCAGAAAGGCCGTTAGCAGCTTCCCATCAGTCAGCAGCTGCATTCGATCTTGACGAAAAAGATCTCTCCCTGTGCGCTTGTTGTCCTTTATCATGGGAAAAAACAAGGAGTTGCTCTTCTGTGTGATCTAGATGGCAGCAAATGTCCGATTTCTACACGATGCATGTGAGCATTAATGATTTCTTGCAAGATCTGAATCTTATCTTCATGGGCCGGGTCCTGATACTGCCGTTGGAGGCAAGAGGCGGTGGCACGAGAGGCCGAGGGATGCCGCATACATGCCCGTGCCATGATGCTCTGGGTACACGGGTGAGCGCAGGGGCCAGGTGCCAAGCTCAGACATGACCCAGGTTAAGAATTCATCTTTGCTGAGGGCTGGATTTAGAAATCCCCCCAGGCTGACCCAAACCTCCGCCCCTGGGTTGCCAACTCCTTGCTATTTTGAGGCAGGTTATATTTTTGCTTTCAGACACCAAAGGTTGAGTGGTTGAACAGGAGCTGGTGGTAGAGAGCATCCTTAAATCTAGCTGGGCTGCCTGCCTGGAGGGGAGCTTCCAGCTGAGGGGGGTCAGGGTGATTTTGGGGTGTTTAACAGGGCAGCTGGTGGGTACAGTCTGAGATGGATCAATGTGCTCGGGACCCGTTGGATGTCCAGGTCTGATAGATCTCGTCCCATCTCAGCAGTGAGTGTTGGGGAAGAAACCTGTTTTTCCTTCCCAGAAGACAAGATGGGCAAAAAAAATGCTCCTCGTGTTCAACCCAGCTGCCATTCAGATGCTCTCCCTTTACTCAGTCTGACCTCTATTTTTGTTCTGTTGACATCATTCTCTCTTTACCCCCTTTTCCAGCTCTGCTTGTAACAGATGTAGCCTTTTCTGGACTGGCTGCTCCCCAGCGCAGTGATCTGTACAAAATACGTATTTCCCCTTTCCCAGCGGAGCGAATAAAGAGATGTGCATCGCAGGCAGGGCCCAGCGCTTTGGCTGCCGGCCTTGGTGCTTCGCTGGTGAGGAGTGTTTGAGGGATGCAGAGGTCAGCCTGGATCCCCACCGAAGCCAAGACCAAACTCCTGCTGGCTGGGGCAGGGGAAAACCTGACCCCTGAGAGCAGAGTGACCCCGCAGCAGTTAGGGTTTATCCGATTTCCCAGCAGTTATGAATGAGAAACTTCCTTATCGGGACCCCCCATCTGGACAGATAGCGCCTTGTCTGCGTGCCTCGCTGATAAGCGCTGGGACTGTGGGTGCCCGTGCACCCATGGGAGCCCATCCACCCGGCTGGCTGCTTGTTGGAAATACAGGCTGCAAAGTAAACCTGTGCTGCCTGGCGAGGAAAAGCAGCAGAGAGAGTGGCCTGATGCGGCTATGTCAGACTGCTCCTCCGGACCGCTCCTCCGGACCGAGCTGCTCCATCAGCGTTTATCTGGCCTAGAGCAGGGCAGGGGTTGGTGTCCCCCAAAGAACTGGCCAAAACACCCCCATGGTGGCCTTTTGGGTTACTGAAATGGGCCCACTGACAATTGTCTTTGCCCTACATGCTCTGCCCTTGAGAGCAGCATGGATGTCCTCCTATCAGACACTCCTGCGGTGTAGTCCCCATTTAGTGATGTTACTAAATTACTCGTTACTCCTGAAACCGATTGGGAGATAAAACAGCCCCAAGAGTTATGACTAAGGAGCAGTTCATTGCTTTAGATTTTGAAGTGTTCGTTGCAGCTTAAGGGCTACTCCCAGATTTTTCAGGCACGTAACGAAGAGTCCCAGGTGTCTGGTCAAGGGGCCGGGCACACAGTACTGAGGCAGCCTCCTCCCTCTACTTACCCCCCGTTCCCCAAATTAATGCCTCAGAAAAAATGCAAAGCTCTTAATCTACTTTGCATGTGATTTGAAAATAATGGCAGCGCTTCGGTGCGGTAGTTGTAAGAAATGGTCCAGGAGCGAGCTGTGCTCCCAAATATCTGCTCCTCATTTATTTTCTTCTTTTTATAGGCTTATTCTGTTGGGGCTTGTAATCCTTCGGTCTAAATACACAGGATCTATGCAAGAGGAGGAGTATTCTATGAATTTTCCTCACAGTTTATGGGAGGTAGATTTAAGGTAGCTGACCTAGGTATGGTGACTGTCCTTTCCTCTGTGGATTTAAAATATTTGACTTGAAAAAAACATCTTTCTCTCAAACTCTGGTAGTCATGCAATGGCACGTTTCGAGGCTAGCGTTCTAATATAGTATAGCTTGTGTGCTGTCCTTTGTTTTAAAAAAGAAACAGTGTGTTAACTTTCAGTTTGTGGCCTCTAGCTCAAGATGAGATTTTTTTTTTTTCATTTGTGCTGATTATTTGCTTTTTATGTCCTGAGTGGTTTGCAGAGAGGTAAGTAATTGCACAGCGTTCCTCGGGCATCCCACGACACTCCACAAAGGGCATGCTTTACTCTGAAGACTTGGACATCCCAGATTGCTTCAGATCCAGGTCTCCAGTATCACTTCCACATTCGTAGGAAGGTGGAAAGCTCTTTGCTTGCTAAGCACAGTGGGGTACGGGCATCGGCGAAGCGCAGCAGGACAGGAGGAGGTGGGCACAGCCTGATGCTCTCCGCAGAGTTCTGGCCCCCATTACGCAGGTATACATGTGACAAGAGGGTGGAAAATTTGCTTCGGTCTTCCCATGGTTACCAATTATAAAGCAATCTCATTTCCTGAGGCTCACCACTGACACAGAAGAAAATAACAAAACCGTGTGGCAAAACTGCCAGCGCTACAAGTTCCCCCGTTAGCTGATGGTACAAGACAGATAACTCAGCTCTGCCACATCCCCCCCCGATACGGGGGTTTTGCAGCTCCCACCTACCCCCAGCAGCTCCCCCTGCTCCCGCAGGATCCCCGGCCCCCCATGACTGTGCCTGCTGGTGGGCACCGCTCCGGCTGCCTCCCGTGGGGCTTCCAGGGGCGTGGTGGGAAAAGCTCTGGGCTGGTGGGACCCCCCCATGACTGTGCCTGCTGGTGGGCACCGCCCCGGCTGCATCCCGTGGGGCTTCCAGTGCCGCGGTGGAAAAAGCTCTGGGCTGGTGGGAAGGGCAGAAATAGCCGGTGGAGGGGTGCTTTCCCACGTGGGGGGTTGTTTACTCACGCTGGAGGGGTGTGGAAGGGGTCGGTGTGTGCCTGTGACCAGTGGAAAATGAGAGGTGTTATTGCAGGAATGGTTTCCGCAGCCTTCAGTGGGTAGAGGTTGATCACCTCCCCGCACGCGTTCGCCCGGCTTCCTAGTGATGCTGAGCACCGCCTTAAAAAAAGAAAAGAAAAAAAGATCTGATGCTAAAAATATGAAGTAGAAACGAGACTGGGTGGAATAACCACTGCACGCGAGTCCTTCCGCACCTGCTTGGTTTGAGTGTCCTGTTTGTCCCGTGACAGAAAAAAAACCTGTGTGCAGAGGTTCATAATAAATCGCATCGATGCTGAACGTGCAGCTCGATCCCTCAGTCCGGCAGTAGATCCTAGCCCAGAGAGGGGAGCCACTGGAGGGGTCTCCTCCGCCACTCATGGGTTTTTGGTGGAGCGCTGTGCCCCGGGGAAAGTCACCGCTCAGCCCAGATCCCCACTGGGGGCCTCCATGGACTTTCCACCATGTAAAAATAGATTTACCACAGACAACTTACACTATCAGCCGCAGCATCATCGAAGGTGCTGGCAGCACATCAGGCCCACATCTCGGTTCCCCAGTTAATCCAGCAGCTAATGGTATGACTAAGAAAACCCCCACCACTTAGATAACGTTGTTTGTAATTTTTTCTTAAGTGAACTCAAGCCTGGTTTAATCCCAACTGAAAGGCAAGCAAAAGGTACAAGCTAGCTGAAAGGCAGTTTCCATGCATCCATCTATAAGGGCTTTTCTGGCTTTTAGGACAGGTTCCTTGCGGAGCCATGTGCTGTCCAAACCCTTTGCCACGCTCCCTGGGGTGCTTGCCCCAGACGGCGATGATCTGGCTGAGCAAATCCGCTGTGCCCTTTCAGAAAGGAGCTGACGTGTTCTACCAGAATATAAATTAATACATTTTTTTAGTTCTAGTGTGAGTATCTAAGATCCTGCTTTCAAAAAAAAACCCCAAACCTGTCACGAGATTCTAGAGATAATTTACTTTTGTAGAAAAATATTATTTCCCAGTCGGTGAAACTTGTAGTGACTGCAAGTAGCCGGCTCCTAACCTTCCTGGTGGGCCGACATAGGTTTGTGGCAGGGAAAATCACTGCTAGTGCCAATGCAAAAACGCAGCTGACTGAAAGTCCGGGAACATGAAGCGCTGCTTTTTCTCTCCGGAGGAAACAGCAAATGTCCTGGAGCCCTCTGAGCATCGGGCAGGCACTGGGCGGGATACACGCCTGGACCACAAGCTGCCGGCAGCACCTGCCTTCAGTCCGGCTGGTTGGTCCCGGGTTTTCTTTTCTCCTCCGGCAAAACTGGAGGCGAAGGGCAGCGGGGATTTCTTTTTTTTGGAGTGATAAAGGCTGGGAGGCCAGAGTGCTGGGCTTTTCTGTACATGTCTCGCTCCCGTCAATCAGGAAGCGGTGACGCAGGTTATGGGTTGGGTTTGAGGTTTTGGAAACCTTTTCTAAAAGTCGATCTCCTAGCCCCGTTGTATTTCTGAAGGGTGAAGCCGTGGTGAAGGCTGGTGGCAAGCGGAGGGATGCCGGCCAAAATGCAGCTCTTTATCAGATGTAACAGGAGGATTTTTCTGGCTATTTGTTTAATCCTCTTTGTGGGATACACAGCACAAGGTAAAACGGGGCGGTTGTTCTCTCGGTAATCCTCTTTCTGGGCTATGCAGTGTAGGCCAAGTAGGCAGCCTCCGAATTTTTCAAACTGACCTTCTTCTAGGGGTAATGGGATCTACTCAGAAAACCTGTTTTGCTAACGTTTCCTTTTCTGGAGGGGGAATGGTAAGAAAAGGTGCTTTTTGCAAGTGAAGCATTTCTGTGTCCCTTTCCCAGCTCCTGTGAGAAAAAGACTTCATAAAATACGTTGCTGTATGTGTGTATATTTTCAATTAATACATTTCAATATTTTTTGGTAACCAGCCCTTTCATAGTGGTCCGGTTACTACTATTATTCAGTTATGTAGTTACAGACAAAGTATGTAACAGTTCCCATGTCATAACTACTATGGTCTACTTTCTTGAGGGAGCAGGAAAGGAAACTAGTTGTGAGTATGAGGAAATTAAACGGTTTATTCGGTACGATATTGCAACACGCAGCACTAAAACAGCTAAAAGGAAATGTTTCACGATGACATGTACCCTGTGGATTCATTTCTTGCGAGAGAGAAGCGCTTTTCAAGCATGTAGAGTATAATTTGTCCCCAAACCAAGGCTGTGATGGTGACAGGCTTTCCTTATGTATCTACCACTCGAAGGCTGATCTTTGAGGGATTATGGCCTGCTTTTCGTACCTTGTTCATTTGCAAATTATTCAGCTGCAGTTGTTTATTTTGTTGCCACTGTTATTATTTAAAACCTTCTTAATAATAATCTAAGAGAAGAAAATAAGTATGAAAAAGGAATACGCTGTAAAAGAAGCAGGAAATTATACCTGTGAGATGTTTTTTCTCTGCCAGAAGAGTGTAGGAGGTAGCTGAAAGTCATCTAGTACATTATGGAAATATATAGGGCAATAGAGAAGTGTAATTACAGAAAGATACTCCCAAGAAACCGAGAAAAAAATAGATAAAGTGCCAACAGGGGGAGAACGTGCCAGGAGGCTTCAGAACAAATTAATTACATGAGACCAAGAGGAAGGACGAAATGCCACTGGTTTTGTCTTCACTATGTGATCGTTGTTTTCTCCTTTCGGTATTTTTCAAAGACGTGCTTTCCAGCGACAGCCCCGATCAGGCACCTGGGGGACACCAGAACTGAAACCATGGGTTTATGCAACCCTGAGTCATGTCTGGGAGACGCCTGAACTGTCTCTCCTCCGGCGACATGCTCTGAGAGCCGACGTAATCCTCAAATCTGCTCCTGTGACAGGTGGCTCTTGGCACGCCTTGATTTTTCTGACCTCTCCATCAAAACGCATCCCATCCCCCATGGATGTGCCATGCCCTGAGCTGGGGATGAGCCTGCTGTGACGTCGACACGAGGCAGTGGTTTCCCATGGGGTTTCCATTTCTCATTCCCGTGGACTTCCCGGTGCCGTGTGTGAGATGTGCCCAATGTCTCTGATAGGAAAGATGTCACTTAGGGTATCAGTAGCCATTTAAAAAAAGTCTTTGCAGTTAATTTAGTTTTCGGTCGTTGAGCAATCAGGGCCACACAAATTACTTTCTTCTGCTCGTTTAAGCTTTACTAGGTGCTCATAAAGTTAATAGGTCCTGGTGAATAACGTCCTGGTCCTGGTGAATAACGCATGGCTGATTCGATCAGGTGCTCCGCTGCAGAAGGCAAGGTACAAGAGAGTGAGGTGCCGACCTGATGCCTGGTCCGCTAACTGCATGGAAGAGAAGGGGCCCTGGTTTTACATGCCCACTGGCGGAGCCAACAGGATCCTTCCTCCCATGGCAGACCCGTCCCTGTAAGTTCATTTGCCGCACGTTTGTCATTAACGCTAGCACCCAAAAATGTGCAGTATCCTTGTCTCGACAGCCCTGTCGCAGCACAGTTCACCCACGGGAACGTGAGGCTTCAGTGTGTTCGCTGAAGAGATAATAAACAAAAACAATAAACGTGGAATAAACTAGCTGCCGCTCTGCGTTTCAGGATGAAGCGATACCAGGAGCTGAGTGACGTATTCCCTCTGTCAGACGAGGAGTCCAGCTCTGGGTCTGACGCCGCGGTGGAACTGGAACCAACCTCCGGGTCGGGGCTTGGTGATGGCGACAGCTTCTCTGAGGCGAAGCTGCCCGTCTTCCTAGCGGGCCCGCGAGGCAGCGAGCTGAAGCAAAAGCTAACGGAGGAGGATTTGCTCCTGTAGGGCTGGAGACGTCGGCCTCCTGATGCCGCCGGCGGCCTCCTTCGCCTCCCGCGCCCCTTCCCCAGTGCCTGACCCAACGCGATGGCCACGAAGGTGTTTTAAACCAACTCCAAATCAATAAAAACTTTGCCTTAAGATCTTTATTGTTTTCACTCAGTAAAAAAAAAAAAATTGTTCGGTCTGAGCTTGCTCTTTGCTTTTTGCAGGTGGGGCAGCCATCCCAATCGGGGGAAAACAGGTTTTGGGGGCCCTGCCCGGTCTGTGCGGATGTTACCGGGCCACAGGGGTAATAAATTAAAAACGCTGGCACGGTGGGAGCCAAAAGTCAGCTAATGACGTAAAATCCGCTCGAGCGGCTGCCTCGCACCTGGCTTGCCCGTGTTTCCCTAAAAAGCACAAAATCGTGCAAAAATCGTTTTGGGACCACAGCCCTTATTTCCTGTCAGCGACCGCCCTCACGCCCGCCGCCTCCCGGCCGCCAGGCGGCGCCCT